GTTACCACGCAGTTGTTCGCCGTGGTACGCGCTCTACCTCCCTCACTCGCAGCCCCTTTTGCGTTGCGAGCTGTGTTGCTCCCTTTCCGCTTGGTTCTCTTTAGCGCACTCCTAGCGACGCGTGTACTTGTCCATTATAGCTAAAAGCGTAGCACACTCGATTATCACGTCGTCGTGGGTGGCTTAAAACTAGGAACGTTACAGACCTTTGACAGCGTTGGGATCCCGTCGGTGGTTTTAAGCGTGGCTAAAATACCGCACGCCGGCACGAAAATGTTGAAACATTCCCGCGCGTCCGTATCAGTTAAATCGAAATAATCACTGGGAGCGGAGAAAACCGGAAAAGTGCAGTCGGAAGAATTATTGGTATTGATTTAGACTTTCGAGGTCGATGGCCGTGGGGGCAAACTCGAGTGCGCTGGGTAGATTGAGTTACGAAATTCGCGAACAAAACGAGAAAGAGGTGGGAGATGCGAGTAAATATTGTAGGGATTTTTGCGCGAACATTTTTTCAGCTTTCGCTGAAAGGCTGGAAGGCGAAAATTAAAAAAGTTCCAATGCGAAGAGCGGATAAAGCTGAACGTTTGCGAACGAATTAAGGTTCGGGAGAATATATGAGTACATGACATTGGAAACATTGTAGGTTTTTATTAGTTATCGATTTGGGGGTCGTTAAATTTCTATTTATATTCTATAATGTTTTAAACTGATCACAACTGCAAAAAGATAGGTTTTATCGTAGGTAATAATTCCGAGCAGAATGTCCGACATTGTTTTTCGTATTATTCGACAAGACGTTACTTTCTATAAAAGATAGGGGTCTGAATCCCGTCCGTTCTCTAAATAAGATCAAAAAGAAAGGAGATCTGCCCTTTCAAAACATTCTTTACACCCTCGGTTCATTAGTGAAAAAGCCGGTCTACCCCGATTTGAACGAAAGACAACCCTCAGTCGGGGATGCAGGATCGTATAACGATGTCGTGCGCTTCAAGATGTGGCAACAAAGTTTCTGTTTGCTTAAGTTACAGGATCGTATGCTGACGCAATATTGTAGAGAGGGTTAAATAAATAACGCTAGATGAAAAAAAGTAAAACAAAAAAAATATTAATATGCTAATTAACAACGAGATTTTTATTGTCATTAATAAATTTCATGAAAAATTGAAATATTCGACCAAGTCTAGTTTCTACAACTAAGTTAATATTCAATTAGTTTGTTAACGAAATTGTCTGTAAATATGGAACGAGATTATTTTTATTTTTAGGGAAGAAATTATCCTCGTAAATCGCTTAAACGGTTCGGTGCAGCAGATGTATTTAAAGATATAGAGATTTTATTTTGTACTGCACATTTTAGAGTTCTTTTATATCGCGGATTTATATTTCGCCATGAGCTACAAAGGTTGTTCCTCTAAAAGCTATTACGCTCGAGATAGCTTTTAGAAACTTCAAAGGATTCGAGCTATTGAACCGCCCATTCGCCGTCTTCTTTGCCATGATAAACGTACGCGATTGCCGTTGAACTACCGAGTATCTAACCGATTGTCCGCGTCTGGGTGAAATTGTCGGTGGAATGTCTTAATCAACTATCGGCTACTCGCGAATTCTACGGAGGCTACCATCATGCCTGTTCGCAGATAGCGATGGATAGCGGTGATCGGTGTTCCCGCCGTAGTTTCCACTGTAATCGTGGCTAACGAGCTAGAGCCGCCTTTTCTTCTTTTGTTCCTTACAAAATAAAAAGCTCTTAAGCAAGCTCGTTTGGAGGCATGCTAGCACGGTGATCGCAAGTGCGCCGCGTGCAAGCCCGCTCCGGGCCGATATGCCCCTGTGATTCCGTTAATGGGACCTGCGTGTTCTCAGAGAGCAAAGCTGATCATTTCCCGCCTGTTGACGGCTTTAAACGGTTAAATGTAACGATAGAAACAGCGGTTCTGATGATAAGGACTTGAATGAAATGTCAGTTTCCATTCTCTAGAATTTGACATGTAAAGATGCATATAGAAAATTTTACACCGCAACTTATGCAGATAAAGTTGTAGTAATGGGATGCACACTTGTGTAACAATCTATAGAAAAATCAAACGTGGCAAAACTGGCTCGGGTTCTCGGTTTGGCACTTTTAGGCGTAGACGATGGAGGCCTCTCTCTGACCGTCTAGAATCTAGATTATAAATATTGATCCTGAGCGTCCTTCAGTCTCGAGTGCACTTGAGGACTCCCTCTTGTCCGGCATTTCTATACCGGGTCGAGGGGGATTCTTCGTGGCGAAATTGAAATCGGAGAGGTTCCTCGTATCCACTCCACTAGAAGAAGAATCAGAGTCGAGTAAATTAAAAACTTGGGCTATCTCGTTTCGACGACTCATGCCTCTATGCAAACGTCAACAGACATTCAATGAGGGTTGCATTCAATAACATATAGACATACGGCGAAGGTAAAAATAACTGTTGAATTGGAACGTGCACGAATAGCATTAGAGGGGCGTAATCAAAAGACATATTGAATTTTAACGACATGATTTCCTTAACATTATATGGATGCGTTGTCTTTAGTATCATCGCAAAATATAAAGTCTTTCTAGCTGGAAAACGGGAAGAAAGTAAAGATGATGAAGGAAGGCCATCCGTATATAGAAGTTGCTAATTCCAACAAGGTCGAAGGAGCCGGGCTTAGCCGAAGACCGCCGTCGGGTTTTAGGCTTCTCGTCCCCCTGGCACGTCTTCGTGCCCTCTAAACCGGTTTAACCGAGCTCTCGTTAACTTCGTTACCGCTAATGCCTGTTGCAATGTGGCTAAGTGGCCATTGCTGCTCTGGGCGTTCTGCCCGAGGCCTCCGATCCTTTCCCAATTACTTTACTACCGTCAAAGTCGCGATTCCATTTTCCATTAATCAATTAACACGAGTTACAAATTTATCAGTAAGGTCGTCCATATCCGGAATAATTAAATATCGTAACTTCAAAATGACTTTTCGCCGTCTCAGAATATCATAATTCTTAAAGACTTTTAATTATGGCTCTTACTGAGTATTCTTAAACGCGCTATATTTTTAGTTAATTTTACGTGATGGAATTACGTAATCTCTCTGTAATCGTCTCAACTGTTAATGGCAGTTGTAACATAACGATGTGCATTTTGATTATTCATCACGAGGTAATTCTTGTCAACATCGCAGGCGGTAGTATACAAAGCGAAGTATGAGTAAATGGTCTTTAGATATCGTTTTCCGATACTGCGTAGACAGCGACACGCTCTTCCGTGTGCGTACACTTGAGCAATAGCGTTCGTCGAATAAGTCTTACGAGCCGTAAGCGGCCAAAGGAATGTCCGGTTACGTGTACTCGAAATCGTTAAAGACAGAGACAGCTGAGCTCGGTGGCTTTGAGGGCATCGCGCAAATTACGGATCTAAGGACGAGCGTCCTAGAAATGCCGCTTTGCGTAAAGCTGAACTGATTGAGTGAGGCGTTTTAGTATGCCATGAGTGCATCGCTCCTCGAAAGCACACTCAAGATCTGAGAAACCGAGAACGTTGAGTCGCGGGAATACCGGTGGGAAATTCTGAAGATGCTACTTCGATTTTCTCTTCATTTGATTCCCCTCACCGTTCTGTTATACGAGCAGATGCATTATAATTAAGAGTAAATTTACCGTCGTGCGCGCTTTAATCTCTGCATTTTATCACTTTACGTTCCGTGCATATCGAATTTTAAAAAAGCATTACGTAACGCGAATCATTTATCAGAAAGCATTATCGCAAAAATCGTTGATTCGTACATGTATATTGTTGAGATAAGAATTTGACATTTATGTACGTGAAACTTGTAATTTTATTATACCGAATTTCATTCGCAATAATTATGTTAGCTACTTCGTAGTGATCATCGCCAGCTCCGTGAAACTTCTTAATTTAGTATCGTCTGTTTGGATTTCTGTTGCAAACTAGTAAAAAAAGCGCTCGGAGAACGCAGTTATTGCGCGCGGTAACGTTATATACATACTCGCGTTCTCTCTCTCTCTCTCTCTCTCTCTCTCTCTCTCTCTCTCTCTCTCTCTCTCTCTCTTTCGAGGTGAGAAACTTTTGATTTACGACGCACTGCTCGACCAATACCGTGGCTATGGCGCTCTGCAGCGGCACAGTAGAAAAGTTTCCTGGAGACCAAGAACGCTCTATTAGTACCATTCGTTATTTTGTTTCCTCTCCCGTTCGTGCGCGAGCGGCCGTATAAGAAAAGCTCGCGAGAGAAGCTCCGCAGTTCCCGCGCCAGAGGAAGGAGGAGAATCCCTGGAAGGATATCCGCCGGCGGTTCCAAGAGACTCGGATAGTTTTTCGTCCCGGAAAACTGGTTATTGATACTGCAGCGCGAACTTCCCCGGAACTTTCCTGCCCGCCGCCGCCGCCGCGCGTCGGAGTACCTACTCGCCGTGCTCGAGAAGCTACGGCGATAAAAACATATTTGCCCGTGCCCGATGTTAACAACCTCCACCGCCGTTCCCCGTTAACGTTTTGTCATTACGCTTACGTTATACTGTTACACACCACGTCTGAAAACTCGCTCGTCTCGTTGTGCCGTGTACGCGATCGCGATTTTTCAAGCGTTCTCTTAATTGCCCGTACGCGCGCAGTATCTACTTTACCGAGAGAATCTTGGCCAGTCGCCAGCTATCGATTCGCTTCTCTCTCGCCTAGGCGGACGTCAGTATATATTTATAATCCAGTTAATCGTGCTGCTCTGTATTTTAAGACGCGTCTGTCGCGACCGAGCTCTGCCCTCGCCTCTCCTAGCTTCCAGTCTTTGTGAGTTGCGGGAACTCTTTCTTTCGTGAGAAGCATTGAAACTTGTAGAAGCGAATTTTCTATTATAAAAATGTACTATTATAAAAATGGTATAATATAATTAGATACGTAATTAGAGTACCAATATATTATATGCAATTACACTCTGCGTTTATATTTACATCTACAAGCATTAACAATTAATTTATGTTTCTGTTACAGTATCTAAGTGCTAACAGAATGGATACGTCAAGAAATCGAATTAGAAGAATGGTCGGCTTGCTCTGGTTCTGCTTCTTCTTCGCGGCAGTCCTGGCTGAGGGTACTTTGGAGAAACTACATGAAGGTGAGTAATCGCTTAATATATCTTGGGTGAATTTTTAAATAAACATATTTTTATTTCAATTTTATTTCGTATTAAAAAGAGACGATATAAAGAAGCCCGATTACTTTGGTATCGCAAAGACTACTGCCTCTTCAATTGGGTATCGCGAGTATAATGAATAACATCGTTATATCGCCACGGTCGTTTAATGCAACGATACTGACAGCACGGCGGTGTGCTGATGATAAATTTCAATTTAATGTATTGGATATTCCACCTTTGAGGGCTCGTTAGCGTAATAACCGGTTGAAAGGGCGTGACCGGTTTTTCGCAATTATATATTTTCCGACAGAGCGTACCGAGCACCCTGATAAATGATTGGTATTTATCAACGTTCAGTATGGCTTAAAGAGAAATGAGAAAAATATAAATTAATTGTAATAGGGAATTAAGCGAAATAATATTTGGAATTACGCGGTATTACGGTTGAACAAAGATTCTGGGGGGGGGGGGGGATTTGCTAATGAATATTTATAATTTTAACGTGCAATATATTGATTAGAACTGTATATGCCGTAAAATTAAGAATCTGCAATATAATATCGCAAATAATTGGAAAAACATCGAAAAATACGCAACGCCGCAACGTGTGAGAAACGGCGATCGTCTCGCTGCAACATTACAGTCAGCGGCAAGAATGCAAGAGAAATGAGCGCTCGTCTGTGAGTGATTCTGATGCGGTATCCTATCGATCGCCTGAATTTCCCCTGCCTCGCAACACGAGCGAGCACACAGTTTGTAGAAACGAGAGATAAACGTCTATCTCACTACTGGCCCGAGAATGGGCAGACGTGCCGGCGAGCCGGATAGAGGACGATGAAGGCGAAAACGAGAAGAGATGGACGGGACCGTAGAGTACCGAGGGGGAGAGATAGGCGACAGAGAGAGGACAGACGGAAAAGGCGAAGAGAGAGAAAAACAATGAGACAAAGTGGAAGAGAACGACAAGGGAATGGGAGAGCGAGCCAGTTGCAGAGCAACTGGTCCGTTATAGAAAGCTACTTTAAGGCATATTCATAATGTAGACACCTGCCTGTGCGTTGCTCTCTTTCTCCTTCGCATCCGCATTCAGTCCCTCGTTATCCTGATTTTGCACCACCGCGCATCGCCGCGCCGCGAGCGAAATGCGAGGAGAGTAACGTTGGCGACCGCGAAGGGCACCATATGATTTAGCCATAAATTCGATCTGCATAACAAGCCGTGGGGTCCCTCATGAATAAAGTCATTCGTATTTCGGTATTAATCACGCCTCGCAACACCATCGCACCGCCGCACCGGCCGGGGCGGTAAGCGCGAACAGCGAAGCCGAGCGCGTTCGCGCTCTTGTTTCCCGTCTCTCGAAACGCACTACCGGCGTTTTAACGAGCTATCGGAAATTCCGATCTTTTAGACCATTCGAGACCAACGCTTGGACCGTTTAATTACACCTACCGTACTCGCGAATGTTCGCGCGATATATAATAATGACTCACTCACGCTGGAGACCGTGTTCGATACAACAACAGCGATCGCGTTCGCACCTTTCTTTTTCTATACATTTCGTTTGTTCTTTCCATCCTTTTTAATTTGCGTCAAGATTATGTAAACGTTGAGGGAAAAGTTCTTACGGATGTATCATTTTGCGCGTTTGAAATGTGGGGGATCTAGTTTTTACGATTTTTCTTTTAGTAAAGTAATAATGCGAAAAAATAATCTCTAGGAATATGCGGTGTCTATCTGTCGTAACGATCGTGATTAGGAGCTTTCGATGTAACCGAATGGGAGGATAGAACCGTGTTATAAGCGACCAATGTGCAAACTAAAGTGGTTTTACTAAGTTTTCTAGAGAGTTATCTATCGCGGTCGTAGTAGGTAGCGTGGATAAAGTATCTACGCCTTCCGGCCGATAGATCCTCCTCCTCTTGCTTCCTCTTTAGTTCTCTGTTCACGAGCGTAGCAGGTTCTCTCTCTTTCTCTCTTTCTCTTTCTATCTTCTACAGACCCAGTAAGCCGCGTTGCAACTTCCAACTGAATAAGCATCACTTCCGCTTCTGACGATGTAGCCTTTGATGTAATACCCTACGCCATTGCCTGTTTCTTCCCTACTTTATATCTTTATCATTTTTATCGTACACCTGTCATCTTCCTGTTGACCATTCTGCGTTATCGTGTTTTTTTGTATACATATTTTTTTTTTCTAGTAATATAATGCGCTTTATTTTAATCCGTCATTACTAAGACGTGGTATGACAAACTCGAGATACACTAATAGATATAGTATCATTTTCACACTGTTCTGTATTGATAGAATAAAAAAATTTGTTTCATGATTAGAGAACAATTTTATTGATATAATTTAAGGGATTTCAGGGGAGCAAACTTAATTTAAAATATTTTACAAAATTTCATGTTATAACAACTTAAGCTCTTAGATTAGCTGGATTTTAACAAAGCCCACCTTGGTAACCGTACTATCATTTTTTTCCTTAGTAATACTGGGTTAAGGAAGATTATGGCCAAATTTCATTATACTGTACAAGAACAAAGGCCAGGAAAAAATTTAATACTTAATTTGGAGGAGTGGTTTATTTTTTTCAGGATAGATAAATCGATATATTACCAAATTCGATCGTATACGTTTAGCATGTTGCAGTCGTATGAAACGATCGATTGTGTTATCAGTTTAGAAATTACGGCACAGTCGATTCATTCAGTACGTTTATATCGGTAAATATGCAACGGCATGGTACAGATATTACTTGTGTGAGAAATGAAGAATGGCCACAATTATACGCGACAGCGCATGGACATCGCGATTCATCAAACAGCATTAATCTATCTCTCTCTCCGTCGTGAGTGAGATAAGACCGCGCTTTTTTGCTCGCAAATACACGCTCGAGACGCACGTCCGGCTGGAGTTTTGTTTCTCTTTCGCGCGTTACGCGGACTCGCCGATCCCGCTTCCGGTTTCCGGCAGACTTCCGCCCTCGTAGCACCCGTGAAAAATTGCATTCATCCGTCGACAGCACAACGTACCTCCTGATGACGCGAAACGCGACGAATCTCTTTTTCTACAGAGGTTCTCTGTCTTTCGCAATTTCTCGTACAATCTCTGGCGACACAGTGCCAATCCTTTTTCCCTGTTTTTTTTTTATCGACCTCCCATGTGCATGTACATATTTTCTGCGTCAATTCTATCTCCATCATCGGTGGCGTCATTTCATTACTCTTCTCTCTCTCTTTCTCTCTATCTCTATTTTCCTCTCTTGTACTGCGCGTCGCTTCGCTCTTTTTGCTCAACAGGGCTGTTTCCCCCTACGGGCAAGATCACATCCATCATCCGAGGCAACCAAATCTCGGCATTTGTTGAGGTCTTCATCTTCCAACTCCATGGTCACGGTGGCTCCTTTCAACATCGATGAAGGGGTCGTTGGTGGCGGGTCTGACACAACGCCGTTTCACCGTGTACATTCTCACGTGTCAGCACTCAATTTCGTGTTATTTGTGATAGTCCGCGTTTTACATTTGCTTGCCTTCAAACGATGTTTGCTTTTAAAATACATTTGTATATAAAAAGATTGTAAATGAAATGAGAAAATCTAATCTACTCGCAAAATCCTGTTAATAGAACAGTGAAATATTGCATTAAATGTTTGAATTACATAATGCCGTGAATATTTTGAAAACAAAACATCGCGTTATTAATTTAACAAAAAATTCTAAATTGCATTCTTACATTTAAATCCGCGATACACAGGCGGTTATAATTTCCTGGTTGGCATAACGAGGACAAATTCGTTATCGGGATTCTCATTAGAGATAGCTGGAGCATCCCGGCGATTTGATCATGCGATTTTCTCTTTCTGTTGTATACCAGTGATTGGAAATCGCTCTTGTCGTTAAGCCAAATCGCGTTTCTAGATTGTCTCGTTACCTGGAGCTATTCTGGACACCTCGGCCCAGGGACTCGATAAGGTAGGGTCCGGGGCCAGAGGATCGAACTAAAGCTCGGTGTTGTGAAAGTCTGGGGTCCAATTATCAGCCTTTGCGGGATTCAAAGCAGCTTGTACCTTTATTATGTTCGTCAATCGTCTACAATACGCCATTAACGATGGTCTGATTTACGTATCTATCTCGTACACGTTTTCGATTACTATTTGATACATGTATGTCGGATGTATACTCGGAATGACGGCCTGGCTATGAGAACCTTAACCTCTTTATAAATTATAAAAGAGGCGTCGTCGTCGTCGTGTCGCTCCATATGTAAGTATATTGATCCTAAGAGGTCAATAAACGAGGTCACGTTTAATCTTCCGCAATTATGTAAAGATTATGATAGTTCCGAAATATTGGATGATTAATAAGAGATGGGATATTGACTGTGTTTTATTGGACGCATAGAGACTTCCTCGTTTATGTCAAAATGTATGTCAATTATAATTTCTGGATTATTAATTGATAATGGATTAACGATTACTTAAACTTTCATTTATACCTATATCCGTGTTTACTGTACAAAGAAAGGGTGAAAAAAAGCGGCTATACTCAGCGAGCGATCTTTCAACGATTGTTATTCGAAGTCAATTATACAGACTAGCGACGTAGTCGCTACATTCTGTGCCATAGTTTTCCACGTGATACGACACAACGGGTCATTGGCATAATGAAGAAACTTGGCGGCGAGGGAAGTGGTCTCGGGACGGAAAGGAACGTGGAGAAAGATTTCGGGCGAACTTTATCGCTCGGGCGACCCGGCGCGGCGTGACGACGGGGGCCCCGCGCGCAATGCAGGCCAGTAAGACAAAGAAGAATAACGGACGACGAGCGAGGGGGACGGGCGAAAAGTTCGAAAATGCGTTGAAGCGACGCCAGGATTGGCGCGGAACAAAGAGGACACGGAATGGTAGAGCGTGGCACGTTTATCTTGCACTTCTTGCGGTCCTCGCTACTCGCACACCCTTACCGCCGTGTCCCTCTGC